TTTATATACATATATAGATTTATATACATACATATATATATATATATAAATGTATGTATGTGTGTGGGTGTGTGGGTGCGTATATATATATAGACAGGTGTACACGTGTAAGAGAGTGTGAGTGAGTGAGTGCGCGAGTGTTATTGAGTGAGTGAGAGTGAGTGAGTAAGTGATGTATGATGTGTGAGAGAGAGTGTATGAGTGAGTACACGTGTGTATGTATGTGTGTGCGTGCGTGTGTGTGTTGGTGTGGACATGTGTGTACGAGTGTGTAGGCGTTTGTATTAGTGAGCGCGTGTGAATGAACATGTTTTGTGGTTGAGTGAGAGAGGATGAGTGAGTGAGTGAGCGTGTTTGTTAGTGTGTGTGGATGCGTGTGTATGTATGAGTGTTTGTGATTGAGTGAGTATGTGAGTGAGTTTGTGTGTATGAGTGAGTGTATAAGATTATGTTTACATGAATAAGTGTGTATGATTGAGTATGTGGACATTAGCAATAGTATGTATGTATGTGTGTATGTATTGAGTGAATGTTTGTGAGTGTGTTGGTATGCCTGGGTGTGGTTGAGACAGTGTGTGTGTGGGTGTGTGTGAATATGTGGGTGTGTGGGTGTATGGATGTGTGATATGAGATTTTGTGGTGTGATATGAGATTCTGTGATACAATGATGCTGATGTTATATTTAATTTTTATAAAGTCAGTATACATCCTTTATCATATACAATTATTAAAATTATTTATCCACTCTTGTAAACGCGCCTCGATTTCTATCCCTGCTTCTGTTGTTATACCTTGCAGTGGCCCCTCCGGTCGTACTCTTGTGCGTGATCGTATGATAAATTTGCGAAGTGTGTCTTTGAAATGGCTCTCAGAACCCCAAGGATGCTGATCAGGGTTATTATTTCTGTGACTTGTTAATCGTTGCTCTAGTTGTGAATTTGCTTGTGAAATGATATGCTTAAGTGCATTATCCTGTAGTTGCCATGTTAGAGTTGTTGCTACTTTTTTTTTATCGTGTTCAGCTATAGGGTTCGCTAATAAGTTGTCGCCTTCTTCCTGTACACGGCTACCTCCAACGTATAGTATATTAGGCCAGTAAGATTCGGCTTTAATTTCCCATTTGAGAACCATTCTTCTGATAGCCTTTGATTGGCCAACTGTCATACCCTGCATACTATGGATATAATCTGCTTTGGCTACCTTAATAGGTAGTCCATTTCTTCTAAGTTGTGTAGCCCCAATTATACAAATTTAGATTTGGATGGTGTGTCATCGTTGTGAGCCCCTCCACTGTTGTCTACAATAAAAGGATCCCCTTTAAATTCAGTGAGAGACTACAGTAGTAGACGTATTTCCATATACGTTAATAACGTTTTACGTCGTCAGCCCGAGAGTAATTTGGGACTTGTTATAAGTATAGGTGGGCCAGCCCGAGAGAATGTAAGAGTAACTCAGATTATTCTATTTATAGAATACGGACCACCGGCTAGCCGAGAGCCGAGGTCCGAGACTGAGTGTAGTAACAGAGAATATGATATATTTATTTCTAGAAAATATATTCGAGTGCTAAAGTGTTCTACCGCTTTACCCTGGCCAACCCAATTGGTTGAACACTAGTACAAACACCATCAGTATATAACTGAGGGTGAGATCACAAATAAATTCATTCGAATGCACCATACTTTAGATACACTAGCACTTTACTATTAGTCCCCACACCGCACGCTAATAACCACGCTAACATTCAACCATCTCTATTACCACAACAGGTTTCTCATTTATATCATATCCGTTCTGATATATGATGTCGCGCGCTATCTTACGTGACTGGTTAGCCAACGACACTTCTGGTATTATGTTGACTGTTAACTTCACCATCATCCCAATAGACAAATATGCAACCAACGGAATCACCCCTGCCATACCCAACTTCCTACTTCCTTTTACGTTACCAACACAGCTGACTTTTCCACTATATTTTGCCCTCAACACATACACTTCAGGAAATTTGCTAATATATTACTTATTATAATCGTCTCTATCCTTATTAAAGCAGGTTGCAAATAAGGTACTACTATCGCCCATATCAAATTTTTGATACTCGTTGCGTGGCAATCTCTCCTTTGTACGGCGAGCCCAGAATTGTATGTCACTCTTCAGGTGCACATGGTTTGCCTCATCTGTATAACCAGATCGCAAATGTAATAAAACATCGATTAGTGGCCCTGTAGAACTTTGACGTACTGGTTCCGTTAGGAAAAAGTACTTTTTAAACTGCTGGTAAAATAATAGTCCCGTGTTATCTACAGGCACATCCCCCATCTTGGGATTCAACATTGACCGGTCACAGACAGGGGGCAGTTGTTTCGGAATGCCAAACAGCATCATGGCAGACGTTTAGCCGGCGGCCACAAGATCAGTTGCGTATGCACCATTGTTGAAATGTTCTCCGCCTCGTTGACAGGTATGTCCCATGATACGCTCTCCAAACATATAACTTTCATCTACCATTGTTGATATACTATCGCAGTATAAACGTTGTGCCCTCGCAAACGCCATCATATTTCCTCCCTGTGCGATCGGTATATATTCGTTTCCGTTGCGCTTAAAACTGAGTAGTCTGTCCAGGGTTGATCCACCAACATTGCCAGCAGCTGCTCCAATTGGGGCTGTAATGAGCGAAGCGTATGCATCGTCTTTCTCAATCTTCGCCAAACTATCTAGTACATTCATAACAAAGCACTTTACCGTGCCAGCCACTGCAGTCACAATCCACCTGACTAGAGTTTGTTCATCATTCACAAGATGCTCCATATATGCAGTGAGTATATACCGATGACATTTGTTATTAACACACAGCAGCGGATTCACAAATCGCGCGTCTCCACTAAAAGCTCTACATATATGCAATGATTTACTTCCTGCTGTAATAGCCGGGCCTCCACATTGGACTCTATGTTATAAACATACTACTAAGCAGTACGTAAACTATAAACGTACTCTTAATAGTACAAGGAACTTAAGTTTCTTAAATGGTCTTTAACGGTTTTATTAATTAATACCTTCCATTTTACATATCAGATATTTAGACAAGGCCATTAAAAGGTCCCAGTAAAATACCAAACATAAGATTTGGTCTAGTTCTATTAATAGAACTATATTTACTTTCCAAATCTACTTATATCTGAGTACTTTGGTAGCGAGATGGCTCAACCGAATATAGGTTTCTAAGGACTATTTGCGTTACCTAGTTTAACCTCTTTTCAGCCAACCAGATGTGCCAGTCTGATGAAGGCTAAGTCGGTAATTCTTGATAAGTGGCAAGTTATTGGTTAAGACAATAACTATGGACATCAAGATTTTTTTAATTTATACTTTTCTTTTTTCTTCTAAAGATAGGATTCTATGAGTCTCTCGGATTCGCCCCAACGAAACATATCATAGTTTCTAATAGAGCGGCAACAAAACACTAAAGGAAATCCCTTCGGCGAAAACAGTACTGAGAGGATTATATATAGATAATGTCTCAGCCTCACAATCCCTCAGCGTATTGCTGTTTTCACGAGGCATACCTAA